CAATATTACTAAATTGCGTCCCCTAGCTAGTGTACAAAATTGCTAGATTGCGTCCCCTAGCTTGTGTACAATATTGCTAGATTGCGTCTCCTAGCTTGTGTACAATATTGCTAGATTGCGTCTCCTAGCTAGTGTACATTATTGCTAGATTGCGTCCCTTAGCTAGTGTACAATATTGCTAGATTGCGTCCCTTAGATAGTGTACAATATTGCTAGATTGCGTCCCTTAGATAGTGTACAATAGTGCAAGATTGCGTCCCCTAGCTAGTGTACAATATTGCTAGATAGCGTCCCCTAGCTATAACAAAATTGTGCTATTAAAAATGGCCTGGTGAATTACGTCTAAATAACTAGATAATGTCCCATTTCATTTGAAAAATATATAATCTGTTTTGCTTGGTCATGTTTTTAGTAACACTTAATTCAATAATTAAACATGTATAAAAGAGTTATTGTGTCGTCAATAACGTGTCATCTCCACATTGAAATATAATGCCTGTTTCCATGTTGTAAAAACAAATGCAATGTTTAATATGTTCATAAACAATTAACGGAATTAATTGTCACGTTTATATCATTTGAAAAGTGCACTGATTTGGCATCTAATGAAACGCCAGGGCTAAGTCAATGTTGTATCTCATAACAACGCGATTTAACGTTTATGCATGCATGCGACACAGTGTAGACTTTAACCCTTTTATGTGCTGTAGTGAGTTGTGGATTTCACTGTAATTCTCTCACAGGGCTGAGTGATTCATAAATATGAATTAAAGTGATGACACTTAATATCGTACTATGACGTCATCACTGTGACGAATTTTCGCAGGAATGCCAAACTTACGATTTGACATCCTGGATATAATTACGTTGCCTCTTAAACGAATGAAATCACATTTAAATTTCTAATTTGTTAAATATCATGTTATGAACGTATACCTAATGAGGTTTCTTGATTAATGTGTATGGCAGTGAGTTTACAACCATTAATCCTGACACGCATTAAGCGGTGTCATCCAATACTATAATTACTCGAAAATACCGATATGATTTATCTTATTAAGACCGAAATGTGCATATTTAATTAATGTGTATAAACCGCAACTACAGAGCAGTGTTTATTGTGTCAAAATCAGGATTTAAGCACTACAAAACTACTTATAGTTCCGAATTCGGAATTAAAGTAGAACGAAACCACTTATTGTGTCCATTTCAGGATTATAGTAGTACAAAACTACATATTGCGTCAAATTCAAGTTTTTGTAGTACAAAACTGCTTGTTGTGTCGAATTCAGGATTATAGCAGAACAAAACTACTTGTTGTTTCAAACTATAGCGGACGGAACAGTGTTAACTGTGCCGAAGTCAAAATCGAAGAGTATAACCATTACCAATGGTATCGGTCACGTTGACAAAAGTGCAAAACATTAATATTGGTGTCAAAGTCATCGTGTTAAAAGACCAGAACATTTAATGTATCAAAATATACTGGCATTGAATGAGTATATGGGTAATTTTATTGTCCCTTAAAGGCAAATTACTTCCCGAGACTTAAGGACAAGGCTGTTCAATAGATGACCTTCAAGTTGAAAAAACAGGAAATGACTTTCTTGCTAGTGAGTTAAGTAAATAATTTGCAGCATCATCGTTGCTCAGAAAATGAACACTACGTTTGCGTCAGACTCCATTCAGAGGCCTTACCAGAACTCAGATTCTTCCAAAACGACAAAGGGTTTTGAAATATGAACGTTGGACACACATGTTAGTGAACCTTTAACATTTGGTAATAGATCCATTTTGCCAAAAACGATTTGCACTGCACCATACCGCTGTTTCGTCCTACTGGGTCTCATCGGTGACGCAAGGAGTCAAACAGGTAGTAAACCACATCGGTATAAACAACTGTTGGAGAAGAAGGGGATGTTCGTAAAACTTCTTCTTTTGTTTTGAAAGAAAATTTAAAAAAAAAAATCTTAATAAAATGAATTTAAAAAAATTCCCAGAGGATTTGATTTAGTTCAAATTATTAATGAGTTATAAGTTATAATATAATTTAAGATACTTCGTTGATCTAGACATGTGGATTTATCTAGAGTGATGGGTTTGGTTTCACTTTCCATAATTTCCCTGGTGGGGAAACACACAAACCCTATACCTGAATTTAGTGAATATCTTTGAAATCTTGAAAAATTGATAATCATTTGATGCCCTCTATAACTGAAAAGGTTAGCAAAATCTCTGAACCTGCAGCTAAACATAAATAGTTGTACAATCTTAGCTGTCTGTTTAGGGGCATGTTTTGAATTGCCATATGGTTCCATATACATGCATTTTGTATGGATAGAATATGCTCATCTATGAATTATTAGATTTTTAACAATATAGCTCTTTGCATGAAAGATCTCATGCAGCCTATCGAACGATTTAAAGACGCCTAATAATGGATAATCAACGTCATAACGATGTTACGAGCCTAATAATGGATATTCATGGCCATAACGATGTAAAGAGCCTAATAATGAATATTCACGGCCATAACTATGTAAAGAGACTAATAATGATTATGCATGGGATGAATTTGACAAGGAAATAAATACGTTTTCCACGAGCTTTTGAAAATAAAATCATGTGATTTTTCAGTGATTTTACTTCTTTTTTTTTTAAAAGGCCAAATCAAGTCATGCTGTTCCTAAATCTCTGTTCAATATTCAGATTTTCATGTCGCTTTTATTTATTCTAAATTAGCATTATTGCATTGTTAGTATTAATGCATAGGTAAGTATCATTGTAATTATCATTACATTGTTAAATATCATTACATTGTTAAATATCATTACATTGTAAGATTGGTAAGTACTATTACATCGTTGGTATCAGTTGTTATATAACACTATTCATACTATGTTATTATTTCTATAGATTGCCATTACTTACCTTTGATTTAAGAATATATATTCACGTTTATTGATTTATAACATAGTTATCAGGAGATTATTTTATTAACACGAGTGCTTATTTAAGGATGTTGATCACATGATATTTGAGGCCTGTAAACTGGGATTCTTAAAAGGACATGAAATAATAATTTTTAAAAACAAAGCATATGCTTGAAAACGCCAATGTTTTTGAAGCATTACGACAATCATCAATGCTCCGAGTCAAAAATATTTGAAAATCTGTATTTGTTCATCCCCTACAGAGCCTCATTTGTCATAATTCACATATTTGCACTAACGATGGTTTCCAAATTTTGCTACTTATTGCAGTTTCTGATTTCCATTTCTCTATAACTCAACTCTTTTTCTAGCATGCCTCCTCCACACTCCCTCGCATGTTTCCTTTCCCGCCTCGTTAACCCACATCATATAGAACTTATAAACATTAGATAGATAACGAAAACGTTTCAAATTTCATTCTTGTATCAGAAAATAGTTAGTATTTTTACTGATTTTATATTTTGAGAAAGCATAGAATTTGGAGTCGTTACAATATCAAACATTTTGAGCCGCCGTATCTATTCTTTTGTATATTATTTTGTCGAAAAGCGCTTTATTGTTTCAGAATCAATGTGCATCTCCGAACAAAAATAGAATGTTACCTCACATATTAAGACAAATATTGTATACTTCTTAAGGCATATAAGCATATAAGTCAAACGGATATTTAAGCAAATAAGCATATTTAGAGAAAAAAAATGTTTCTAAAGGTAAATATTAAGTGATATTTTTGATATTTTTATCGTAAACTGCATGGTTTTACGTTTCTAAGCATGCTTTTAATAAACAAAGATGCTCGAACTTTTTATAGTGGTTTTTTTTCGAAATTTTCAAAGCAAAATAGGCAGTAAATTTAGATCAGAAAATACAATTTTCTAATTGAAGATGGAACTCCTTAAATATCTCACATTTCCAGAATTGTATTAATGGTTTATAAAAGGGTATATAGGTAGTGTCGTTCGGACGCTAAACTTATCTCAAACGTAACTTTACTCTAATTTTCGAGTATTTTGAAATCAGTCATTGTATCATCTATTAGAAACAACCATTCTTGAACATATAATGTCTTTCGTTTACGATGAATTTTATTGTAGAACGTTGTATATTCTAATTAAGTTTCCGGTTGGTGAACTCCATTCTCCAAATATATTGGGAAGAAGCCATTCTTTAAAATCAAACAGTTTCTTAATTTTTGTCTATATTTGTCAAAGTATTTAGTCAAGCGAAACAGTTGTTCAGTTCCAACGGTCCAACAATGGACTTAATAGTCTACCCTAGTGTTAATTAGGTTTTCTTTTCTACATCTTTGTCAATAGCAACTAGTCAAAAGCCACGACTAAGAATTATATTTGTTGCCAGCACATTTACTGCGGGGCACCGGAAGTGTTTCGTAATGATGTGTACATCTGCTCTATACTTTCAGCGTTTCTTACAGCCTCTAACTTCTTTACTGTTGCTATACTCGGAATTGTTGGCACAACAACTAGTATAACCATTCATGGTCGTTCTGCGTATACAACACAAACGCCCTCATCTTGTTTCTAGGGTCTATCCTCTTTAGCTCCTGACTAAATCATACCTCCTGTCTCTACTTAGACCGCCCGCTCTGTCTGTCTGTATCTATCTGATGTCCTGCGCTTGTAACATGATTGCATTGTAGAAACAACACACACCTACCTGTATCCCAACTAACAATGCACAATGCAGCTTAACTCTTTGTTAGTGAGTTGGAAGCAAAACAAAAGGGAAACCATCTAAAAGTGACTAACGCGTACCTACCTTGTGGATGTGATGTCTAATTAAATGCATTTACCGGAGTGTTTTATTACCTTACTCAGTGGAACAACGTGAAAATAACTTAGAATAATTCAACAAGACGCCAACGAAACTGAACCATCACGCCTCTTTTTGATCATTCTGAAGTTATTTCGCATCGTTCCGCTGAAAACAAAGGTTTGTGATGTCAACAGATTGCTTTCGTCATGTAGTTTTTAACCACATTTTCAGGTCGTTGCCATAGTGTCAATCCTGTTCATCGTCCTCTCCACGATCGCCCTCACATTAAACACTATACCCAGTTTCCAGGAGGCCAACGGCGACAACGAAAAGTTAGCTTTGATTGAAGCTGTCTGTATAGGATGGTTTTCACTTGAGTACCTGGCAAGATTTTGGGCTTCACCAAACAAATGGAAGTTTTTCAAAGGACCTTTAAATATTATTGACTTGCTAGCAATTATGCCGTATTTTATAAGTTTGGGTTTGACTGAAACGAATAGGCATACGACAGAGCAGTTTCAAAATGTTCGCAGAGTGGTGCAAATCTTCAGGATAATGAGAATCCTAAGAATTTTGAAGTTAGCCAGACATTCCACTGGATTGCAGTCTTTAGGCTACACTCTACAGAGAAGCTACAAAGAGTTGGGGCTTTTACTTATGTTTTTAGCAATTTCTATATTATTGTTTTCAAGTTTGGCCTATTTTGCGGAAAAAGATGTAGAAAAAACGAAATTCATTAGTATACCTGAGACGTTTTGGTGGGCCGCTATTACGATGACGACTGTTGGGTACGGTGACATATTCCCCACGACCGTGCCAGGGAAGATCGTTGGCAGCGTGTGTTGTATATGTGGTGTTCTAGTTATTGCGCTTCCAATCCCCATTATAGTTAACAATTTTGCTGAGTTTTATAAAGACCAGATGCGTCGCGAAAAGGCGTTGAAGCGACGAGACGCCCTTGAAAGGGCCAAGCGAACTGGAAGTATTGTGTCTTTCCACTCGATAAACCTCCGTGATGCATTCGCCCGGAGTGTTGACATGTTGGAGGTCAATGTGACAAACAACACTCGCACGGGAGACAACTGTGATGCGAACAGCGAGGACAGTAAAGGCACCAGTCCCCCTCCCTGCGTGGTAAAGACTTTGGAGGAGTGCAAATCCGCGAACGAGGCGGAACAGAGTGATACTACCAGTCTTCCAGGTTTATCAAATCCAAGCAATGCTAAGCTCCTCAACGACGATGACTCGATCGAGAGAATGACGTCATCACAACCAGCCCTTAATTCGAATCAGCAGGTGAGTGATGTTTGCTTAGCTTTATTTGATGATTCAAACATGTCTTTTCTGATTCTGCATGTTATGCTTGGTTTTGGTAACAAAAAATAATTTCTTGTTTACAATTCATTGTTTGCTGATTGATATTGTTCACCAATCTTATTGATGTTCAGTGGAAACATGAAATCTGTCTTAAGAATAGATCAGCCCAAATACTAACTTATTTACGTAAGTGTTTCTCCATAATTTTATATTCAACATGCTGTTTACTGTTTAAAATATAGATTACATAATCACATTTCGAATGATGAGTTATATACAGAACATATAGTTAATATTGGATTCAATGCAACAATAGCATAATTGTATAAAAGGAATCGTTATTTTAAAAGGAAGCAGTACTAGTGTGTTGGGTTTGTTTAATTTAATGGTTTATTCCGAATTGTGATCGAAATACAATACTGCATTTCGTGTTACGTTTGAATAATAATAGTTTATTGGAATGCTCCATAAAAAGGCAATGTCATTGATAAGGTTATCTCTCGTTAAGTTACTACATTGTTTACTTTAATATAATCCCAGGTTGTGTTATATAATCCAATTCCGGGCTCTTGAAGATAATTACGTATAAAATTACCTATAAAACATTCAAGACTTGATTTGAACAAGTGTGAGTCAACAGTTTTATTTTCATTCTTAATCAGTGTAATTACCTCTCTATGACCACTAATGTTATGCAATCACTCGATGTTAAAAACTTGCATGGCACACTTCTACGTTCATCGTTGTTCATTAGACGCTTGTATATGTAAATCAGTTCGATACCCTCGGTCTTTTATCTGTGCATCTTACATATGTGTGCACTGACATGCGAAGGTACAATCATTAGTACTCCCCTTGCCAAGATATAAAAGGTCGGAATCGACTTTAGGGAGGGATAACGACCTGCTTGTGTTGTGAAGGTATTCCTTAGCGACCAAGCATTTCCGTGACTAGGAATTGATTCCGCAATCTTGGTTCGGATTAGACGCAGATAATCTATATGGCTTTCTCTGAATGATTTATAGAACTTAGACGTGTTTGAAATAAGTTGCGTCTTCTATTATAACTTGATCTGTGTGTGTCTCGAATTACCCTGCTGGTAAACTAGGCATGCCATCGTTTGATTTAAGCGCATTAGCTGCAAAGTCATAAAGGCACAGACAGCTCATTTTGTATATTTATTGAATCACAAGATGTATTCACAACAAAATATGATCGCGGAGAAAATTGTTACAAAAATTACTCCAACGACACGTTAACTAAATTTCAAAATGTAACAACGCTCACGCGTTAGCCATTGTTGCAAATTCATAAATTGTGACTTAGTTTGATTATAGAAATATTTGAATTCATTTTTGAATATTGAATATAAAATCCATTTTGATATGGATTATGCGATTTCAATTACTAATGTGTGTGACAGCATAGTCTAGATAACATGTTAACATCAGTTACGACTTAGTCAAATAAACTAGTTAGTTTAAACTGGGGGAAAAGTCTTTCTCAGTAATATACATATATTTGAATTCATTTTTGAATATTAAATTTTAAATCCATTTTTATGTGGATCGGGTGGTGTCAATTATTTCAGTAATAAACTTTTAAAGTACAATCAATAAAGTCCTATGTATAATAACAAAGACTAGTTACAACTGCATATGTCATTATAGGAGAAAAAAAGTCTTCCCATGTTTTTGATAACATTTCATGAAAGGGTTCGTATGTTGATTATATTTTCCTAAGTTGCTTAAGTTAGTGAGGTTCATTCTGTACATTTACCAAGATATTTTAAGCTATTCTTGTTAAATGTATTGTGAAATGGAATCTGGTTTTTCAGAATTGTTAATATAATTTTACGTTGGTGCAACAAATTGTTGTTTGTTTTGGATTACACCCAATTAAATCACGGACATCCTCAGCCTCCTCTCTAGCCACCGTCCTTAAATGACCATAGCTGTTGATAGGACGTTTAACAATACTAAACCAAACCAAACACTCAACCCTTTACGACTGATGTGTCCGTGTTATTTCAGATATAAGTGTAGGAAAGTTGGAGATGAAAGTTGATGATGAGGTGCTGCACTTGTTTGTGTGTTAAATAAAAAGCATTCGTTTACCTGTCCATTCCACCACGCAAATCCATAATGGCATTGACCTACTCAAACTTAGAATGCAAGGTATTGCATGTGGTTTGCGTTTTTCTGCTTTTATTATATATTTACGCTGTGTTGAATATTATTTGTTTGTCTATGCAATTGCTGTAGAAGAAAATCAAATCACTTATTCCTTTCAAATTCATTTCCATGACGAATTTCTACTCGTAACGAACAGACTCTGTAAGAAGCAATTGTTCATTTTGTAGAACGAGTTGTCTATTTTTTGTCATGTTTAAGATTTTTTGGTAATGCGAGTTGTCTCCCTTGAACTACTCGTCAATCGGAACCTAAAGTACTTGTCCCTAACTTGCTACATAATCTTGCTTTCTAAACATCGACACTTTGGCCGGCCTAGCGTCGCTCATGACATTTTACAGAGTGAATAATTCATATCTGTTGCACTGAATCTGGAATTTGTTTTCATTTGTAAATTTCCAATCTAGTGAAAGATCTCTGATGTAATATAACTGGTTTGAAAACGGCATGTGTATGCAATTTTTACGGTACTTGCTGTATTAGAAATTTGCCGTGTACAAATGGAGTATATAATGATTAGCGTTCTCCGTGTGCCTGTATATCTGGTCTATCATGATTATAGAAACTGTGTAAATATTAATATGTATATTTGTTTCGTTTCTTTTTACAATTTGTCTGTTTTAGCCGTCACCTTGTACTTTTTTAATGTAGCAATTTTTTGTTTTTGACGATAGAATATTTATACGCTACAGTAGTATGTCTATACATTCTTCACATTTATACACCACAAAACATTTCTGTACATTGATGCATCACTGTTACATTTCAACAAATCGATACACCACAGTAACATTTCCTAAACATTGATAAACCACACTAACATTTCTACATATTAATACACCACACTAACATTTCTTCATAGTGATACACCACAGAACCATTTCCTTAACATTAATACAACACCGTAACATTTCCTATATATTGATATGACAAACTAACATTTCTAAATATTAATACACCACACTAACATTTCTTCATAGTGATACACCACAGTAACATTTTCTTAACATTAATACAACACCGTAACATTTCCTATATATTGATATGACACACTAACATTTCTAAATATTGATGCACCACAGTAACATTAATATACATTGATACACCACACTAACATTTCTATACATTGATACACCACACTAACATTTATATACATTCATACACCACACTAACATTTCTATACATTGACG